AAATCTAAAGTGCTGGCATGCATCTTCATCCACACCCTTTACTGCAATACCTATAAGTAAAGCAATGTCCTTCTAAAGTCCATAAATAGGGACATGATCACAAGCTATAAAATGCAATGTATAAAGTAAAACTAATCTTTCACAACTAACACTATAGAAGAAAAACAGCCTCATTGAAATCTGCCTTTTTTTTTTAACACCGAATTTTAAACACTGAATTTTTTTAACACCAAATTTTAAAAACTGACTTTTTTTAGACATTGAATTCCTTACACGCAATTTTTATCTGGTAAAAATTCACCAGAAAAAAATTCAGCAGCAAAAATTCAGCCGCAAAAGTGTTGACCTTCTGGTGAACTCAAGCCAAAGCAATCTACACTCGATAGAGTCGAGGAGCTTCTAGCAAATGAAATTAGCTCATTTGGTCAAGTGACAAAACATCTGCGCTCAGCGGAATTTTTGCAGCTGAATTTTTTGCAGGTGAATTTTTTCCAGATAAAAATTGCATGTAAGGAATTCAATGTCTAAAAAAATTCAGTGTTTAAAATTCGGTGTTAAAAAAAAGGCAGATTCCAATGAGATGTTTTTCTTCCATATAACACTGCAATCCATATTTTTATGAATTGCTCTATAAAGTTAAAGTCTTGTATCATTTTTCTAAACCAAAGTATGCACTTTGTTTCTATAATATAAAATCCTAATGATATACGTTTCAGTCTTGCACTTGTAACTGGAAAAAAACTGTTGTGCACATGACATGTGTGTTGCAAAGTGGAAGAGTTTGTTTTTCCCCCACTTACAGCGTTACTGCCATCGACCCTTTCTGCCAAACCAAGGAGCACCTCGGTCGTATGTCCACTTTCAGCCACAGTGGTGGTCTCCACTACCTCTTCAAAGTCAGCCAGCAGGTGTCCAGCTCCCACAAGTCCATCTCCGACCACCATCCCAGCCCCATGCCCCGCCTCGCCGGCTGAGTCCTGTTCACTAGTAACCATGTGGATGGCCTGGTGCTGCTCCAGGTCCGTTCGAGTGCCAAACGTGTGGCTGCAGCTGCCGCAGCTGTACAACAGCACACTGGCCCCGCTGTCGGTGCTCAGATGAACCTCTGTCCCAATGGCCCTGGATGTGCACACGTCCTCCCCAGAAGGCGCCAGGGTGAGCTGCGGGAGAAGGCTCGGATTCTGACCAGAGGAGGTAGTTGTCAGGAACACTTCTTCCATTCCGACTCCGTCAGTTCCCTCCTGGCTCACGAAACCCACCATGTCTGTCAACATGGTTGATGTCACTTCTTCCGCCCCAACCACCACCTCCACTACCTCATTCCCCTTCTCTCGGCCCTCTCCCCTCTTGCCCTCTTTGACTCCTGCGTTATTATGAGAGTTCTTGTGCAAAGCCAGGTTCGACGAATGCGTGAAGCGTCGACCGCAGTCGCCGCAGACATACGGCCTCTCTCCTGTGTGTATTCTCATGTGCTGCCGCAGGTTCGTGGACTGAGTAAAGCACTTGCTACACACTGAACACGTGTAAGGCTTTAGGCCGAGATGGACGTTCTTGTGTCGCCGCAGGCTGCTTGAGTTCTTGAACGCTTTGGGACAGATGTCACACGGGTATGGGCATTCCCCAGTGTGCTGCCGCAGATGATACTGGTAGTGAGAGCTCCATTTGAAAGTTAGCGGGCAGTAAGGACATAAGAAGGCCCGAACTCCGGTGTGAATACTCCGATGGACCTGTGAGCAGAAAGACGCTGTGAAACTTTGCAATTATTCTTGCATCTAAAAATCCTTTTTAGTGAAAATGTTCCTACCTGGAGAAGAGAGGAGCGTTTGAAGGCTTTGCCACAGTCCTCACATTTATAAGGCTTCTCTCCTGAGTGAGACCTTCAAAACAAGTCAAACTGTTTAGAACTACAGCATAGATAAGCATGAATGTGAATCAAACACATTACAGTCTCTTCTAATTTACTAATAAATAGAAGATAAGTTTTAAAAAAATCTGCTATGCATAGGTATCAACTTAATCATACCCCTACATTAAAACCAGTGCAACTTTTTAAAAGTCAACATGTTGCAGAAGAGTGCTCTGCTTGGATAAGGGGAAAAAGCTCCATTTAGATCAGAGCAAAACGTTACTTTTTGGTCTATAGGGCTAAATGTGACTACTGAACACAGTGTCCAGGGGGGTGAATCATGGTAGTTGCAGCATCATGCTGTGGGAAAACATTTATTAAGGGAAGATGAATGGAGCTAATAAAGATGCTGAAAGAGTCTTACACCTGGGGTCAAATCTCCTGCATACTTTGGTATGACTAAAAACTAGACCTGCAATAAAATGCTTTAGATTAAAGCATGGATTGTAACTAATATGTGATAACAAGTGCTCTCTAGCTATTCTGACAAAACTTAAACTATTTCAAAAAGAAGAAATTTCCGGCTCTAGATGCATGGAGCTGGTAGAATAATATTCCAAAAAGACTGCGATTACAGTAAAAAGGTCATTTTACAAAGCACAGATGCAATCCACACTTTTTAGATCCTTTCAGAACTATTCTTCGTCAAGTTGGTTTGGTAAACAGAAATATTTTAAACGCCAGCAAAACTTTGAGGAGCCGTACCGCTGGTGGTAGAGAAGAGCAGAGGAGCCTTTAAAGGCCTTGGGGCAGAGGTTGCAGCGGTATGGTCTCTCATTGTTGTGGCTGCGTTGGTGGTGGGTTAACCTGGATGACCACCTGAAGCTCTTCCCACAGTCCAGACACTGGAAAGGATGTTCTGACTGCTCGGGCTGCTGAGCGGAAGGTAGATCTGATCCAGACGAAGCAACAACATCCAGAACCACCTCCTCTCCACCTTCCACTACCCCCTTGTTTCCATCCACCAGCTGCCCTCCATCCCTGTCCTCCTCCCCATCCTCTCCTGGTCCCAGCAGGGATGGGAATGAGGAGAGGGGAGGAGCGGACTGGGGCGGCAGGAGTTCTGCTTGGACCACCAACGCTACAGAGTTGGCCATAAGCGGATCGAACCAGTGACAGATGATGGGGGGGAACTCGGACACAAGTGGAGATCAAGTCGGGAGCGGATTCATGACTTTATGATCACATTTCCTAGAGTCGTGTGTTAGAAACGAGAAACTGCAGCTGTCATGGAAACCGGATACTCTGGAGCCTGTCGTTTTCAGATGTTTGAATTGTTCAGCTCCCAGCCTGTCCTCCTTCCTGATCTTCCTCCCTCCTCCGGGCCGTCGGCTCCGTGTCGGTTCCCGCTCTACAGATTCTTACATTCCAGCTACGCACACACAAATCGATTTTAACCGATTATAAAATGGAACTAGCACAACCTACACAGCTGCTGGTCAAAAACACACGTACACAAAACATTTACCAGTATCAACAACAGCAATGAGTGGCCTGCTTTATAAGCTAATCTGGCTCCCCGTGAAGAAAAAAAAAATAACGACGTTAAACTGCTTAGTGAATAGAACAATACGTACTAAACCGGTACATACCGCACCCCTTTAACTCGTCCTAAAGCTAAAGTGTGACTGTTATATATATAAATCGGGCATCCCAGTGCTAATCCACACAACCTTAACAATAAACACAGCGCAAACTAACACAATCCTCCACCCGACTCAGCTTTCCAACAAGGGCTATGCTGATTGGCTACTTTGGTGAAAAGACGGGTGATTACCATTGGCCAGGAGCTCTAAAACAAAAATAATATTAGCAGCATCATGAAAAAAAAAAAAGAATATTTCCCAGAAGACAGGTTCCAGATATCAATCCACTCATTATATTCATACACATTTCTACACTATATTAAAATTTTATTTACTGTTACTTCACCGCGGAGAATTATGGGAAACGTAGTTCGTGCGTCGCAGTCTGGTCTCACGTATCCATCCGTAGAGTGGGAGTCCAGTTCAATCTTATCATTAACAAAGTTTAAGCAAAAAATAATGCTAAAACGCAAAATATTAAATTTTCCATATATAGCAAATCTTGAAAAAAACAAAACAAAAATAATCAAATTTTAATAAAGTATTTAGCAGGTTTAGGAAGCCAATAAAAGTCCAGCTTCTAATCCATGTTATACTGTGTATCCTTGGTATTAATGCAGAAAGTAATTTTATTGTCAGTGGTGAATGAGAAGGATGCAAAAAAGCTAATAAAAAAAATTCAATGCTTAATGTCAGACCTGCAGCACAGAGTGGTTGCCTGTTTGGGAATTGCTTAGTTTATAATCCCAAAATGTTATGCCACAAGTGAGTTGAGGGGCTGGGGAATCCAGAAATAATTGTATTCTGGCCTACCATCACATATTTTAGTGTTTTATGCTATATTAATGTTATTTTAGTGAGTATTCTGCACAGTCACCATATGACAATATGAATTGTCTTTCTTCCACCAACAAGCCTGGTTCCTTTGCATCATTTATCATGATGAGATGAAAAGAAGAGAGCAGATCCCAGAATTTTGGATGCTCTAGAAAGAATATCGAGGAAAAACGGTCCAAAATTACTCTCTGCATCAACCTTTCAAAAGGAGGGTGGGGGGATGAGGTGTAGATATAAAAACTAAGTGTGGCACTGGCAATTTAAAAAAAAATGACTCATTCATTTCTTAACATTTTTTGACAAAATCAAATCAAACTAAGGATTGGAACTGTGTTTAGTGTGAGATTTGCTTTGGTGAAAGATTTGAAAATCGCGATAACAATATTGGTGACTGAAAAATAGAAAATTCTCAACATGAAAATGTTGTCTTCTGATTGGCTGTTATGTTTATCAGCTTCCTGTTTTCATCTCTGACTTCTTGCTCTGTTTTCCTTGTCTGGGATACTAATTTCCTATTTTCCAATGAGTAGCGATGCCATTGCTTGATACTGATGTTTCATTTCCCTGAAATTTTGCTTTGCTTTGAAATATTTTCTGCTCTATGATGAGTTATCTTTTTTTGTGTCGAAGCAGGCCATGCAAACCAATGAGTCAAAGCCACTGTGCACATTCTTTATCATTTATTTCACCAAGGCACGTTTCACATTGAGGCCAATCAGTGTGTGGAGAAGGCATCTGATATGACAGAAATAACTTAAACGAGATAGTACAATAAAGCAAATAAGATTAAAAACTGTATAAAAGTACAAAAGGGAAAGGAGACTTGCTCCACTGCAGCACAAAATAAATAGTTCCATCAAGTCACTTAAATAAATAGTCAATACTGTAACAAATACTAGAATAGGAATGAATAAAGAATGATAGTGATAAAAACCGGTAATCTCCAATATCTTATTGAAAACAATATGATACACATTAGCACTTGTATACAACAATTTACATTCTTGTACATTTATGTACACCTGTACAGAACATAGTGTCACAATACATAGTATTTTAAGGCTTTGGGTGCTTTAAAAAAATAAAAAATTCTAGCCCAAAGCACAAGTTCAAAATCAGCCTTCTTACTCATCCAAGAGGCCAATCCCAACAAGTTTGTGCAAAGACTCTAATTAGGACCATCAGTGCTCAGCAAGAGGGCACATTCAAATGACTTTACCACAATGTTTCATACAGGCGCCTCCTTTTGTGGTACATGACAAGTCACCATTGGAAAATAGAAACTCTGTCCATGTTTCAAGGCAAGATTTCGCCTCTTTGGTTAATGATTGGACTATTTTTTTTTTCAAATAGATGCAAAAGATTTTTGTTAAGGCATCGGCTGGTAAGATATCATGCAGTATATTTACCATTATGTAGAGGTAATATTATCATCTGCATAAATGTTTATTTCAATGCCGCTGTAAGGTAGAAGATGCTACATCTACTTAAAATACAACTCGATGAAGAAATACACAAATGCAATAAAAACTGAAAAAGTTTAAACAAAAAAGAATGTAAGAGCTGCAGGTTGAAAAAGTGCTATTGTTATTTATTTTTTTGTTTTTTTTTCTTTTATAGTTTTTTTTTTTTTCGGTTTGCGAAATAGATAGAAGCTAATTTGAAGAGAGACTACAAAATATTGGTGAATAAATTCACGTTAGTAAGGAAATACAGGCTAGAAAGATGCATTAGACCATCAAATAAATAAAAAAAATAAATAAATTATTAACATTCAATAAATAAATAAATACATAAATAACAATGGTTACAAAGAAAAGGCTATAAGGAGGGAGACAGGAGAATCTTGACATGATCTGTGTGGTGTGACAGTTTGTTTTAACGGGAATCTTGATGGTCATGCTGCAGTGTGGCCACATCCTTATCAGCTATCATTTTTCATCACAGACGCACACACACACAGCACTGATTTGAGCCTTATTGTACACTGACATGGCCCTGTTTGCAGTTTGAATGAGGATGAACCCTGCTGGTTCTGCAGCTGCCTGCTGTTTGGATCATCATTGCACTGCTGAAGCTTTGGGCTTGAGGCTAAGGAATGCTCTGTATGCCCAGTCGCAGAAGAGCTTGAAGTGCTGGAGGAGCTCGTGGCTGGACTGCAGGACATCAAAGTGATAGGGAAGGTGGGGAGGCAGGGAAGGTGTTGGGTTAGTCAGCTTTGGTGCTTCGATTTTCTGCATCTGTGGAGGGAAATATCAAACCATATAAGAAAAAATACCGATGTGCTGTTGTTGTTTTTTTTGTGTATATACTTTTAAAGGAAAGGGTGAAATGAAATTTGCACAAAATATACATTTCAGCTCAGGTAATCCTCACATAGCAATAAATTAAAACAACTAAATCTATAAATAAGATTTATCCAAAAAAATGTTAATTGGTTTTCTTTAAAAAAAAAAAAAAAAAAGATAGAAGATAAGATTATAGAGTATCTTAAACTACCATCTGCATCTGCTCCACTTGCTGTTGGCCCACAGTTATGCTATTCTTGATCACACAAAACTAATATAAGGGCCAGAAATTACCCCCAGGATGCACTTTTGACACCCTTGGTGTAGAGCATCATTCAAATCATAATTTACAAGAGAGTTTCGGTTACATCTCGGAGAAGCAGAAAAAGTTTCATCAACTGGATTATTAGCCGGGCAAATAATATTTGCCAGTATTTGCAAGTATTTATTTACTGTAAATACTGATGCAAAATGTTAAGACAGGCCAGTGAAATACTGGACAATCTTTGTTATCTTTAAAGGAGAAGTTCGGTTTTTTTACACTTTAAGCCCCTTTTCTGTAGTGTCCAGGATGAAATCGAATGATCGACACCAAAAGTTTGACAATTGCTCCTGTCTCTGCTTTTTGGCTCATTTAGAATCACCCCCTGGCTGCTTTAGAATGGCTTGCATAGAGCATGTCCGATAATGTCCTTAAAACAACCTTAAACGTTCTTTTTTTAAAATATGCTACTCACCGGGTCGTCAGCGCTGTTCAATGACGTCCCAAAAAAAGTTTCGTGAAGAAAAAACGTTCCTGTAGTGTTTTATTTAGCATTTTGTAAATCCCATTGAGTTCTGTAGGAATAGTCAATATTCCCCTGCCACCGGAAACGGAAATGGGGCCTGTTTACACAGTTGTAGTCTTTTCGCTTCACTCTGCGTACTCCGACGTCGAGGTGCTAACGTCTCTGTTAAACACTTTAAAAAACTCTGAAAATGGAATACGAAAGGTGGATTCTTGATTCTCGACGTCAGAGTACACAGAGTGAAGCGAAAAGACTACAACTGTGTAAACAGGCTCCATTTCAGTTTCCGGTGGCAGGGGAATATTGACTATTCCTACAGAACTCAATGGGATTTACAAAATGCTAAATAAAACACTACAGGAACGTTTTTTCTTCACGAAACTTTTTTTGGAATGTCATTGAACAGCGCTGACGACCCGGTGAGTAGCATATTTTAAAAAAAGAACGTTTAAGGTTGTTTTAAGGACATTATCGGACATGCTCTATGCAAGCCATTCTAAAGCAGCCAGGGGGTGATTCTAAATGAGCCAAAAAGCAGAGACAGGAGCAATTGTCAAACTTTTGGTGTCGATCATTCGATTTCATCCTGGACACTACAGAAAATGGGCTTAAAGTGTAAAAAACCGAACTTCTCCTTTAAGGTTCTATGTGAAGAACTGAATATCAAAGCACAGTGATGTGTCTGTTTTGTAATTACCAAAAAAAAAGCTCTTTTAAATAAGCATTGAAAACATCTTAGTCAGTCTGTTCAGTACATTGTCCTATTTCCCATTAGTTCATATCATATCACATGTTCATATCTTGATGTGTTTGTTTTGACTTTGTATGTATGGATTATTGGGTTTGTTACATCTGGGGTGAAATATATGCCTGATTAGAGATAACTGAGTAAAGCACTAATGTGTTAAAAAGTGATTTTACCTAAACTAAGACAGCACAAAAGTAACTCAAGCTTTTTACCTGACGGTGCAGCAGATTAATGAGAGTTCTCATTTCTTTGATCATCTCTACCAGCTTGGGCACAGCAGGGTGTTGGTGTTTTTTTGAAACCCTGTTGAGCCACTCAAAGTGGTGCTCATAGAGTTTCAGATCAGCGTGGAGCTGAGAGAGTGTAGGCTTAAGCTGAAAAAGAAAAAACAAAACAAAAAACTGATCAATTTAGGTATGGAAGCATGGACATGGCAAGACGTAACTGGTAAAGATAGGCCATGCCCTCTTTCCCATTCTTTCTCCACACAGGCATGCACCTACGTTGGTACAAACCAATTATCAGAGCATTACCTCAAGATTACTGAGGTCATTGGCTGATCTGTTGCTCATTTCGGGCAGAGATCTGAACCTGTGCGACTCCACGTCTGAGTCAAACGCGTGCTCCTTCTGAAAGACATAATAGGACACAAGGAAGCCGTTGGCAATCAGTGCAATTTAACATATAGTCACACAATGCAGTGTGGCATAAGGAAAGCATTACTCCTGATCCCCTGCTGGATCTTTGTTTCCTTAAGGCAGCTGGTCTCGCTGACGGGGTCAAACAGGTCAGTGTGAGTTCGCACACTTTCAGCCCTCCAAAAATGTCAACAATAGGAGAAAATGAGCTGAACCCACAGGATGTTTTTCGGCTGCAGCAAGGATAACAACACAACGTGGTGACTAAGAAAACTCCAAGTGAGACAGACAACACAGGCCTGTAGGGAAACTCCCGGATCACGGCTATAAAAAGATGGAATGACGCAGTGCCACTTGATGTCCAGTTACAGTTTAGTTCTAAACTTTTTCTAAGCCAACAGATGATTTGCTTATTGTGACCAGCAGAGGGAGATAAAACCCCTGCCTGCAGGTATTTAAGAGCCTCATTAAGAGAGGGTTTTAGCATTCAAGATGCAGCCTTGATTCAAATTCAGAAAGATGAGTGATGTGGCATGAGTCATTTTCTAATCAGCAGAGGAACATAACAACATTAGGATGATGAGTGCAGAGAAATGTTTTGAATAAACAAGGCTGAGTGTGCTTAATGCTTAACCTGCTATGATGTGTTTCCCTTGTTTTCCTGCAGTTGTTTGTGTTGATGTTTGCAGGGATGAATGTGCCTCATTGTCCCTCATGTCTCTCCATCAAGGCTTTCGTAAGGGTTCTCTTGTGTTTTCTTTGCCATGTTTTGTCTCCCTCTGTGTCAAACCAGGTGCACAAAGCAACATCATGCCCTCGCATACAACGCTGGTTTATCATCCAGTCAGCCCTCTGATCTTTTCATCTTGTGTTTTCTCACCCCCTGGCTTTCTCAGCTTCTAAACTCTCCTTCTGACCTTACTTTTTCTTGCTCTCTCTCCCCTCCACCGACATGACCTCACCTAACAACAGAACCAAGCATCTAGCCTTTTTTTTCTTCCGGAATGCAAATACGGGAATATGATAAACCTTTCTTTTGATTTTTATCAAACCACTTTGCTGTAAGGAACTAGGAGCAAAAACAAAAAACAAAACAAAACACCACAAGTACAGCAACTACTAACAGTACCTACAGCCACAAATTTGCAAACACTGAGCCTCACAGAGACATTGTATATTAGTCAGTTCTCATCCACTAAATATGCCCAAACATACACAAATAGGTCCAGTGGAAATCTAGAGCTGAACTCTAGAAACATCAGCTGCAACTCTTCTTTGGAGAAACTTTATTTCTCCTTGTATTTATCTCCTATCTTTGCCCTACTTTTACGGAATTTCACAAAAAAAGCAAATTCCGGAATAAATATATATATATATATATATTTTTAACAAATCTTATGTAACCCTTCCCCCCAAATACCCTTTATTAAAGAGTAGTTTTACAGCAAAGGAACAGACATATCTGAAAACTATCTAATCGCCAAAACTAGAGAGAGTATGTTGCTATTTTTAATTTTATCCCCTGAACAAAAGGAGCTTAAAGATTTGCATATTTTAAAAATAGCTTTAGGATCAGTGGAGCGCAACCAGAGATCCAGAGATAAGATCCTGCTTTCTTTTCACCTGTTAAAACACAGCGTTGATATACAATCACCAGCTGCTGACTCTGGCCTCAGATCTGATTTCCCTACCCACTTGACTGTCAACAAACACGATTTAGGCCACAATCATAGATTAAAAAAACATGATATGGACCTTTTGTTGAAGAGAAAACTGCTCCTGCTCTGTTCACACTTCAAAGACAGTGGAGCTCAAACCTGATTAAGCATCAGCAGGCATTAAGGTTTTTTTCAATCTATTTGTATCTTTATTAACACCTTATTGCAACACTGCTAGTCTTCCTTTATTCTGATTGCAGCAAGAGGTTGTGTCCCACTTGTGGATTAAAAGTGAGATCACTCGGTCAAATTATTTAAGCATGCTGCAAGTCTGTGATTAAAGAAAGCAGCTTAAGGCCCACGAGGGCTTTTTTTCAGCTGAACACTGTTTCAAGCATGCAACATGATGCAAGGGGCTGCCCAACATTAGCACCAAGATCCAGCAGTAATAGATCAGGCATACGCAAGCTAAGTTGCACATCCGGAGGGCAACCCAAAGAACAAAACTGTCCTAAACCTGAAGTATAAACTTTAACTTAGCTCTTCCAAATTGTACATTCTATTTGATCCTTTTCATTCTATACATATTTAATCTTAACTTCTGAACTCTAGGAGCTTAATACTTTAAGGGGAAAAAAAACAAAACATTTCAAGCTTGCTGACAATGATTTTACAGTCACTAAAGAAATATTAAGAGTGACTAATGTAAGTGGGTAAGAGGTAGTGGTAATTTATGGCTTAAACAAAAAGAAAATCAGTTAAGTATAGAGATGTTGGATCTGCCAAAGGACTATTACCAGCTGTTTGGAGTTTAAATGAAGGAAAGATGTTTAACTATTTCATGTCTAAACCATAAACCCCTATCTTGCTCCTTGGATAGTATAGGTTGAATTGCACCTTTATCAGGAATGCCTTTTACTCAAAAGTAACATCACACAATCTTAGATTTCTGCATAAGCAGGTCTTTAAAATTGTACTAAATTGTATCAAAAGAAAAAAATTGGTTCAGAGCTTTCTAAGACCACCATGTTTTAAAAATGTTGATATTTTTCTCAAACATCTGCTTTATAGAGCCCTTCACATATCTATGCAATCCGGTGAATGATATAAGTACTACAGTTGGAAAATGTCAGTTTTATCCAAAAGTACAAGGTGGCCGCTGGACTTGTGATTTTCACAAAGAAATTAAAACTCTTAAACAGTGGAAGTTTCAGTTGACAACTATAGTTTTGTTTTCCTTTGCAAGTATTTGCAGATTTTCATGCAAGCTCTCCTTTCCTCGAATGATAGAATGGGCATAAGGAGATGAGTGGAGCTTAGAAAACATGTGCTTGTTTTATATCGCAATATTACATGAATGTATTTGAGTTGTCAAAATTATCTTTATGTGATTGCAAAACTATGAAGAGCCTGCTTTATTTCCAAGATGTTATACAGTCTTTTAAATAAATTCATCCAAAAAAAAAAACATTCCTGCTGCTTAACAAATATGCATTCTGTAATTGCTGCACAAGCAAATTGTTCACAAGTGATGAAATGTGATGAAAATGTGTGTATCTATAGTGTTGCTTAAGTTTATAGGAAAATGAATTTTATTTTTTGAATTTGCTCTTTAAAGACCAAAATAGAAGAGTTTAGACCTGAATAGATGGGTATTTTAAACAGTAACTTAGTTGATATGGGTGATAGGACTTATTGCACACCCTTTTTTTCTGGGGATACATGGTGGGAAAAAAGTACAAGGATGAGGATGCCAACATCTCCTCTTACCAGCAGCTCTTGGGTGAGCTTCATGAGGTTTCTGGTCTGATTGGACAGTTTGTCCAGCTCAGAGCGCCGGTGAGGTACAGGTGAAGCTGAAGTGAAGACAGGCAGCTGAGCCAATAGTAGTGAGAGGAGCAGTGAAGATGAGGAGTCGAGCAGCACTGTGCAGGGGAAAAAAAAACGGAAGCAATTAGAGGATAGGCGCTGTCATCTCACCATAATGATAATGACTTCAGGCCACGGCTGTCAGCTCTGAGGAGGAGGAGGGTGGATAAGACACAGTAACATAAACAATGGCCCCAGACTTGGCAAGAGGTGTCCTCAAGAGTCTTGTTTTCACAGGCTTGAACGCGCATCATTAAATGATTAAAAAAACCAAGAAAGCTTTGACACAGAATATCTCCATCACTTCTTATGAATGCCGCCGATTGTCACACCTGTAACTCGATAGGTAGGTGAGCTCGATGGTGTAAATTAGAAAGACGGAGCCAAAGTCTAACAGTAGAGTCATTCATTCACCCCCCCCCCCCCCCCCCTTCTGCTTCTTTCAAGTTCAAATACAAGGTAGCACTAAAGCATTAGAGGGCAACTAAGTGATGAATGTTGCGCGATAATTACAGGTGAACCACAAGAATCCAAGCCAGGATAAAAAAAAAAAAAAAAAAAAAATCAACTTTTACGCATGGAATAAACCCGAGGACTGAAGACCTTTTAATGTTTATTAATTTGTATTTTAAGAGTTATTTATAATACATAATTGATAACACAATAAAAAAGCATTTTCATCAAAATTTTGGAAAAATAAAAACTAAAACAAATACTTACATTTCATATTGATTCTGGTCCAGAGGCAGAAAATACAAGCAAATAAATAAATATACAAATAATAAATAAATGAATGGAGGTCCGGGGACTGTCACGTGCTCCGGGCTCTCTGAAAAGTTGTCAGGAGTCAGTGGACCGGTGCGCAAATGGATAAGCTGTGCGCACAAGGACGCACGCACACAGACACAGACGGAGATGGAAAATAAGAATTCAACAAATAAAGTCAAACTTTGTAGAAAAGTTTAAGAGGAGCCCCTGTTAGTCTGTGCAGGGAGACGGATGAGCAGAGAGGAGGGAAAATTTTAGAAAGAAGAGGCAACTTGGAGTGCAGAGAGAGGGATGCGATGGTTGTAAGTCCAATTTTTGCGCGCAGTGAAGTGTTTAGGCTTGTTTAAAACTTCCTTTATAAAGACGTCGGGCCTATGACACATCGGCAGTGACTCACTTCATTCATAAAAAACACACACACGTACACACACACACTCTCACACACACACCCCCACACACACAACCCCTCCCTCTCCCTCCTCTCTCTGGCTCTATTTCCTTATCCCCTCCCTACTGCCTGTCTCCCTTTTGCGAAACTTGAGAAAAAAAATTGTTCCGTTGTTTTCTTTTTTTTTTTTTCCTCCCTCTCTTTCTTTCCTCTATCACTTTCTCCTGTCCCGGTCCCTATCTACAGCACTTCCTCCGTCGCATCCCGCTACTTGCTCCAATCACCAGCCTAATCTACCCCTCTATTATCTTCCCATCTCCAAATCGCTCCTCTCTATCACTGCAGAAACAAGCCCATTGTTTTCATGTGTATCAGCCTATCTCATGTATCCTTTCCAGTTTACCTGTCCTTTCTGTTTCTTATGCTTCACGCTGCCCTATATTTGCTGCACTGACAGATTTCTTAAATTATTTGCCATACTTACACATTTTAGCGCATCAAAAATAATTAGTAGAAAAAAAATGTCTAATGAGGATGAATTTCTCTAAGCTATCTAAACTAACCTGGAATTGTGTGGGAAGTAATTGTCCCCTAAGGCTGATACATGTCTTTGAGATGACTGGCAATGAGAAAGTTAGGCCTCTTTACAGTAAAGTTGCACAATGGAGGGATAATGCAAGGGAATGGTCTGTGTAAGGTCAGCAAATCAAAACAATGATAGGCCTTTTTAAAATATATATATTTTCTTTTTTTTAGCCATCAATAAAAACAATTGTTTGTGTCAAAATCAATAAAAAAAAAAAAACTTTAAAAATTCCAATAGCATTACATTTTTTGGTGAAATAAGGTTAAAAATATAAATTATTCTCCTTCTGGATGAACCAAGTGTTAAAGTATTGGCTAAATATTCTCATCTATTTAGCAATGAAGTCTGATAAGTCTCAACAATGGCATCCGACTGCAACACATCCACTATGATGCTTGTTTGTTGTTGTTTTAAAAAAAAAATACATAATTCTTATGCTTAATGTAACAAGATAAGACAACAAGATAATCTGCATTAATTGCGACACACGCAGACCTGTTTTCTGAGCATAAACCAGCCTTAAGGGTCTTGCTCAGGGACCCAGGGTGGCAGTCCTTGGGAGTTGAACTTCAAGGACCCAAGCACAATTCTCTTTGGTGAGGAGGAAACTTCTCTTTACCACTGTTCCAAGTTTTTCTAGGCTCCCCCTATGGATCCCTGGAGTCAGAAAACTATTTGTTACGCTTTCCAAACTGATGGGTGCAAACAAAACAGTTTTTCACCTGTTCTTAAATTTCTTTATAGATCAGGGCATTATACATAATTTTTTTTTTTTTGGATCTCTGAGCCTACCTTATGCTGTCAGACATATCCAATTTACTTTATTTCTTGACTGAGCAGGTTAGGTGATGAAGCCTGGATGCGATTAAAGAATCTGAACTGAGCTTTTTTAATCACAGCTAACTCATGATTTGGTGTCACTTGTCAGCATCTTCCACCAGGAACAAATCATAGTTTTCAAACAGCTTTTTGTGTGAACTTATCTTTTTCTCATGATAAAATTTGTTTGATGATCTGAAACATTTAAGACGGACAAAAAAAGACAGAACAGGGGAAATATATTAGAATTTTCCACAGCGCTGAAGGCTTTACAACATCTATCTCCTAGGGATGATGGAAGAGTGAGGGGAGGATAGGAGAGCGTGCAGCGAGGTGTTGTCCACGCCTGGAGGGGCCCTCTGAGCAGTGTTGCTCAGAAACGGAGAGCGACCAGACACATACACACACACATTTAGGGTCTTAGGGGTCAATGTGCCACACATGTTTCAAACATGCACTTATATGATTCCATAAAACCTGTATCCTAAGAGAAATGTCTAAAACAATCTTCCTTCTACATGCAAAAAAGAAGAAAAAAAAACATGTTTGCCTCTCAAGTCTAGCAAGGAGCCTGGAAACACTCAGTCAGGTGCAGTAAAGCGTGGCATAGAGGCAAAAATGAGTCTCCAGTCATCACAGAGGGACACTTAGCACATCATACTGTACACAAACTGTGCCGTATATCACAAACGAGTCATGCACATATACACAAAAGAACCGAAAAGAAGAAAAAGAAACAAGAAAAGCATTTTTTTTTTTAAGTCTGGGTGTAGGATCAGGAGACCCCTCATTCACAGACATACACTCATGTTGTGGTTAGAAAATAATTGGTGGTAAGCTTTGTGTGCGTACAGTCATGCACATACACATGGAGTTGCCAGTCCAGTGGCGGGCCTACACAGACAAACAAACACCGTTCGAAGAAGGGACAGTGGCAAGAGTGGGCGGTTAAGTTGTGGTGCAAAAGGGTCATGCACTGCTTTCTCAAGGCAATGCTTCGGTGAGAAAAAACGGCGGAGGGTGGGAGCAGAAGGAGAGGAAGTGATGAGTGTGGTTGGACGTAGGGAGATATTGACACACTCGTTCTTTTTAATTTGCCACATCAAAGGGGTGTTTGAAGACACAGCTGGGGGAAGAAGAAAAGAAAGAGTGAAGTTAGTCACTCTCCCTCATTGCCTCATGATGGGGGTCTCCTGGGTGGTTCTGAAGCAAAGGGTCTGATGTTGGGCCCATCCAGCAGCTCTGGTTGTTCACACACTTTTAGAGAAGCAAGGCGGCTGCCCTTTTAACAGGGGATGGTGTGCGCCTGGTTCTCAGCATGCAAAAAAAAAAAAAAAAAAAAAGATCATGCATTTTTGTTTATTGGCGCACGTGAGAGAGGGTGCATAGCGTTGCATGGCTGTCGGAAAAGGGGGAATCCAGGGTTTGTGTAAAAGGGTGTGCATTCAGTGTATGTGTGTAATTATGGGTATGCGGTGCAGCGTTTGCATGATGTGCGTGAGCATCGATGTTTGTGTGCTTCTTTGTGTGAGAGTGTGTTTGTGTGTGGCCTTCATATGCTAACCATTACATCACCAATCTGTGTAAACCACCATTGGAGGAGAAAACAGAGTGAGACACTCAGACTACGACCTCAAAGACATCAGAGAGGAAGGGGGAACCTGTGACAGGGCCTGCACTGCCTGCCTCCCTCCCAGACAAACTTTACTCACACAAGCTCCCCTCAACTAGCCTTACACTGGCTTTCCTGTGCGCCATGGCATGTATTCACACATCATTACACAGACATTAAATCTCTGGAGTGCCTCACTCTCTTCATAGACCTATTACTGGGATGTTAATGCACACATTCTGCTTTAACAAACCTCAGATTTGAGCAAAACTCTGAATCATGTCTCAATTACTGGTAGAACAGCAAACAGTTAGAGGTCTCTGGTTTCTTTTTTGCTATGAATGAGGATGTGCAACAAGTGCATAAAAACATCTCACTTTTTCATCATTTCGCTATATGTTAATAATACTTACACAAATTATTATTTGTCTGTGCTGTTTCAGCTAAAGATCTCAAAAAATCTTATTCAGTTAAATTTGTGAGTGAAAATAAATTAGTAGCATTACATGGTCGACAAAATTGTGTCTGGGTTAAATACATGTTTCTTTTATAATCCATGATTTATATTGCAAAAAGAAACCAAAAGTTAAGCCTAGTTTTACCACCAAGGCAGTGAGGCTCATTATAGAGATAAATTATGTTTTTGCTTAGCTCTGACACAGCAACCACTTGGCTTTAGTTGAAGGGCTGCATAAAAGTCTTAAACCAGCTCAGACTTTTTTATGTTTGTCTTCCAACAAGCCAGACTTTCCTTTAGGCTTTTAAAAAAGTACTAATCAATTTTTCTCCAGGCTTTCTAAGGAGGTATCAAAGGTTTCTCTTCAGTGCTTCTACCAGTCTTTTTTACTCATTTTATGTCATTATATCATGCCATGCATCCTCAAAGTTAGTCCAGAAAAAACTTACTTAAAGAAACAAAAACTTCAGTATAAATGGGTTACCAGTTCATTAGCAACCAGTTAGTCCACTGGTAACCTTATCACAAGTATTTATTTGTTTGCACCAAGGGATAAATTTTTTTTTTTTTTTTTAATAGCAGTTTAGATTATAAACAAAATTTGTAACCCTTCCCTGCTACTTAATTTTTTATTTATTTGTCTTTTCGAAATCTATTAAAATAAACTTGGCTAAATAGAGCTAAAGACATCCTGCTTTATACCTGAAGCATCTTTACTGACCCTTTTTGGACTACTGAATCAGCTTATTCCTAGTTGAAGACTTCGGCTTAGGACTGATAGGGGCAAATTTTAGACACTCCGCGAAAATGATAGTTAACATGCTAAGATGCAGATGGAACCACATTGTTGACAAAAAGTTAAGATAAAACTCTGAAATTCAAATCACCCAACATCTATGGTAGGAGATCCTGCCCATGAGTACCACAGGAGGATTCGGGATAAGGGGCACACCTGGTTTCATGTTACACCAAAAATAAAATGGGAATTCATTTGTAATTGTAGACACAGCTCTTGCCTTTGGGACGCTGCTCAAAGCATTCCGGGTGCCCCAGACTCCTGCAGCAACCTTCTCAAATGATACGGTTCTAAGCTTTTCCTAGATCAACTTACAACTTGTTGACTGTACACCGGCATTCACGAAGATTCACGAAGATACGACAACTTTTTCCAACCTCCCTATAAGAAGGTCAGAACGTAGGTCCCAGCGTTCAAGCAGTCAGATCAAGATGATTTCAAAATGCACGTTTATTAAAAAGTAAGCAAGGGGCTGCTTGTCACCTGGGGCAGGTTCACTGGATACTCTGTAGAGATGTGAACTCATGTTAGTGACTTCAGAACTCATATGGCAAACGATAATGAGTATGTGAGTCACTAACCTGGTAAAGTTCAGTCTGAGCCCAGAAGAAGAGCTGAAGTCCAGAGGAATGGTTTCTCTGTAGCTTGCTGCGGAA